TGTAAATATGGCTCCTGCGGTCGAAAAACGCACCATCCGCATGGTGGTAAGATCCCCTGTGCGCGTTCTCTAAGATGCATGCCGATCCTTTAGATACAGACACCCGACGACGACGACGACGACGACGCGCCCGAGGATAACGGTTCTGACGAGGACGAAGACGACGGTGAGTAGCGATCGCTGTATTGCGGCAGCACTGACCCTGGATCAGGAGAGGAGGAATTTATCGACTACGATTCCTCCGACGATGGGGCTGCGGTGGACGCCCCGCGAACGAATTCAGATGCGGACCCATATGCGCGTACGCGGTCTGCCTCGACATTAGCGCACATTTTTAATCTTTGTTCTAGGTGTATTTTTCTCAAAGGACCATCGCGAAGAAATCATTGAAGTGGAGGAGGAGCCCGAAGTTATCACTCTCCCTGGACACGCGGAGCCCGTGAAGCTCATGACACAGGGCGAGTGGATGAAGGGCTGCCCGCCGCCTTCTGGTGGAGAGCAGAGCTTCCTCTTCGCGCTGTATTCCCAGTTAAGTGAAGGGAAATGCGTGTGTCCTCACGAATGTGGCTCATCGGTCCTTCGGAAGAAGAGCGACTTCTTTCCCATCTTTGTGAGTCGGTGGTACCCATAGCGGCACCCCGCTGATTCGTTGTTGCAGCCCGAATTTTCGTCGTATATTTCACACCTGCAGAGCGTCGTACAGAAAACTTGTCAGCGCTGCCATTCCGAGTTTTGTTTTGCCTGCGGCGAGCCAATAACTGAGAAGGTGCAACGCCCCGGGGCTGCGGCCCCTGGCGATCCTTTGTTCCACTGCGCCGATATCCAAGGCGTCATTCTCGGCGTTGGGCTGTCGATGCTTGAGCAAATGTTCTCTGAGCAGACCCAGGACTCGAGTGCCTTGCAGGATCATAAGACACGAAACACTAAACGTAGGAAGACTGGCAAATTGCAGTCCAAGGATGATGATGACGACGACGATGACGATCTCTTCTTCATGAGTCCCGGCGGAAAGAGAAGCAAGGCCAAGGGTGGGATCGGCTATGCCGGTGACCAGAAAGAGGACGCAAGTACCAGCCTCCTTTCGTGTGGAAAGTGTTGTATTAACAGCCCCCATAGAATTCAGGTCAACTGGAAGCCCTGGCCCAACAGGCTGTGAAAGACCAGAAGATTGGGAAACTCTTGACGGAAATCGGTGTATATCTCCCTTCCTTGCATCGCGAGGGCCACCATCCCAGCGATTTCCTACCGCACCCAACGGCATTAGCACATCTCCGAAGACGGTTCAACTACGTGTCTAGCGCATTGCTGCGAAACGATTCTTTGGCAGACATGTCTGAGCGTTCTGTGCTCTACTTCAAACTGCTCGAATGGCTTGAGGTGAGCATTCTCTGATGTACGTTACTATCCAGCTTGCTTATTTCTTTTCGCCCCCGTAGACAATATCCAGCCACGAGGCACTGGCGAGCATGATGGCCATGCCGATCATGACAGTAGCTTCTGTCAAGTCGGTTACGACGAGGAAATCTCCGAACAACAGACCCATTCGTGAAAGGACCATCGTCTATGAAGGGAGTGCCGGACCCCGAGAGCTGCTCGAGGCTATCGCTATCCAAGCTCATGCTGCGCTCAAGGCATTGGAGAGTGCCAAGGTCCCGGATGTGCCCGACGAGGAGCTGACCGAGGAGCAGAAGCGGATGACGGTTGATACGAAAGGCAAATCCAAGGAGGTCTCTGCACCGGTCGCCGACGAAAACCAAAAACTGCTCAGTTTCTGTCAGCGAATTCTCGGTACGGCGAACGCAATTGATCGTTCATTGCGCGAGACCAAGGGCGATGCGTTCGTCGAGCGGCTGCATGCTTCGTTGCCCAAGATCCTAACCTCGTCTTCCGAGGCGGGAATGCTGGTTGACCCGGGTCTGACGGAAGAGAGCGCGACCAAGAGCTACGTGGAGTGGGCGACCCGCGTCAGATTCGAGTACTGTGATCTGACCATCCCTGCGACAACACCACCCAATCCCAATGAGTCCGAACCACAACTACCGCACTATAAATCATATTACAACAATGAGATTCGCATGCTTGCTCTGTCTGACATTCCTAAACGATCTCTTGCCATTGCTAAAGAGGTGCGCATTCACTGTTGACAATCGCTCGCTTTTTTGACACTCGAAACAGCTCTCGATTTTGACCAATAATCTACCCATCGCCTGGGACTCGTCTATATTTTTGCGTATCGACGAGACACGGGTGGATGTGATCAAAGCACTTATTACGGGTCCGGAAGGCACGCCGTAAGTTCTTGTTTATTTTCCTCGTTGTCTCTGCTGACTCTTGATGGTCTAGATATTATAACGGCTGGTGAGTTGGTGCCTCCCGTTGACGAATCTTCGCTCACGCTGAGAAATAGTTATCTATTCGACATATTCCTTGGTCCAAACTACAACCAGTCGCCCCCGAGTGTCAAGTATATGACGGTAATGTCTTTGCCAGAGTCTAATACCCTGGTACTCATCATATCTTAGACCAATGGCGGTAAATTCCGATTCAACCCCAATCTTTACGCAGTAAGTAACCTAGTACCATCGTATAATTTAGTCCAACACGAGTCCCTAGGATGGTAAAGTCTGTTTATCATTGCTGGGAACCTGGTCCGGGCCCGGTTGGGTAGCTGGACGGTCGACGCTACTGCAGGTAAGATCTGTTGCTGGTATCGGTGGTTTGAAGCTAATTGTGTCTCTAACAGGTTCTCATTTCGATACAATCCATGATTCTATGCGAAGAGCCGTATCTGAATGAGCCGGGATGGGCAGGAAGTGCCGGAACCCCGCAGTCCAAAGCATATTCCGCCAACGTGCGGCGAATGGTCGTCAAGACCGCGGTTCGTACTGGTCACCTGCTCGGCATTTTCTTCTTTGACGTTTATTTCTGCAGATGCTCGGCAACTTGCAAAACCCGCCTGAACCTTTTGCGGACATCATTCGCACACATTACCGGCTGAAGGCGCGTTCCATTGCGGAGCAGCTTGACCAATGGCTTGCGTCGGACGACGGCAGACAAACCCTCGGCGATGGCAGTGGGCATCCGTCAGGAAAGGCGGATTCTGCAGGACAGAGCTCGAATGGGTTGGCTGGGGACGTCGCCGAGATGAAGCGGCTCTTGAAAGAGCTGCAAACTAGTTTCAGCACGACTAGTCGAACTTGAATTGTGTACAAGAAAACATAATATTCTTCTTGCCATCTCTCGCCGTCGTCATCTCGGTTGCAATGTTCCTGATTGGCATGTGATTGCACCGTAGAATCACGGCGGTATATAAAGCTTCAAAATATTTATTTGTCAGGTCCGCTCTTGCTCTGTCTTTCCTTCCACATTCTTGCTCGCGTCTTCAGAATGAGTGACTCTGTAATCCATGCCGTCGCTGGTGGTGCTGCCGGAATTGTGGCCATGTCGTGCACCTAGTGAACTCATTCTCTTAGCCGGTTGACTTCGGCGCACTAACAAGTACTGGGCCAGCCCGTTGATCTTCCTGTCCACCCGCGCAGCCGTCGAAACGAAGAAAGAGTCCAAGGTCCTGGCTGCTTGTTCTCCCTGGAGCTCTTTGGCTCAATGGATTCCAGACAGTATACCAGGCGGTGTTGGACATCATCAAGCGCGAAGGCGCATTTGGCCTATACAGCGGACTGAGCTCGAGTCTATTGGGCATCGCGGTTACCAACGGGTACGGGTGTCAATAATCCGCGGCAAAATTCACAATTGACAGTTCGGAAGCGTCTATTACTACTTCTACGAACGATCCCGAGGCCTCGTTTTGAAAGCCAGAGCGGGGAGTAAAGCCCTCACTACCGTAGAGTCCATTTTAATCGGAATCATCGCTGGTAAGAATATTGTCATGCTGATTTCTTTTTATCTAAATTTTCGAAAGGATCTGCGACGACAATTATCAGCAATCCAATTTGGGTATTCTTTTCAAGCCAGACGTGCCAAACGTATCCAACTCGTTATTTCTAGGTGGTCCAGACTTCCCAGGCTGTGCATACCCTGAACCAGGCCGAGCCGTCATTAGATCCCACTCAACCCAAAGTCAGAAAGCTCTCAATGGTGGAGACGATCCAAAGTATCCTCGCGAAAGATGGCATTCAGTGGGATAAATCGATCATGTTTCGACTCTGATGCTTAATTCTTCTTAGAGCATTCTGGCGGGGCATCGGTCCTGCCCTGGTGCTAGTCATTAACCCCGTTCTGCAGTACACTGTGTTTGAACAATTGAAGAACTTTCTTGTCACTACACGGACCGCCAAACTGAGGGCCGCCGGGGCCGCCACAGCCGTGGCCGTCCTGACCGACTGGGATTTCTTCCTTCTGGGCGCGTTATCCAAACTTGGTCCGTATTATTCTGCCTTTTGACGGTTTCGTCTGACCAAGTTCCAGTTGCTACCTCTTCGACTTATCCGTACATGTACGTTGAGATGATGTCTTCGACGATCATTTATTTAAATATCTGCAGCGTCATCAAAAGCCGTCTCCAAGCAGGACAGGCTCATGCTCTCAGATACAAGTCCTCGTTGGACGGCCTTCTTACCATCCTGAGAGAGGAGGGCCTTGAAGGTCTTTACAAGGGCATTGGCAGCAAACTCGTTCAGAGTGTACTGACCGCCGCCATTTTGTTTGCGGGTCAACGTCGGATTTACGAGATCACCAAGAAGGTGAGACGATAACTCTGTACCTTTGATCCTTCCTCATATGTACCGGTTTTCAGGCGATCTCTGGATAATATGTACCTCGAATATCATATCTCTGTCTATAATTTTACATTGGTATTGTACCGTGAATTTTGTCATGTTTGAAAGAATAAAAACACGCCGTTACATCTTTTGTTTCTGCGGCACTCTGTCCCAAAATACACAAAATTTGCCCCGTAACGACCTGATAAACAATTCGTGCGACGGGGGCCTTAAGACAGAAGTTTGATTCTAGGTAGCGTTCGTTATTTAACTACTCAGCAACCGACTTTAGCTCAGTTGGAAGAGCATCAGACTGTAATTTGTTACCTGCCTTCCTTGGGCAATTATGTAATCTGGGTGTCGTCTGTTCGAACCAGACAAGTCGGACTTCTTTTTGCGCTCAAAAGTTTAAAAATTAAGGAAATTGAAGAGTAACAAGAGAGCGCCTGGGTTGTCGCAGGCTCCTACCCACCCTCGCGTTCCGGGGTTGGGAGACACTGTAGCGGGATTTAGCTGTGGATTGTTAGTAGTCATACACTAAGACAAATCAAATCGCCCATCAAATTGATTGTTCTAGATTCATTATTGCTTCCGAACTTCAAGCTTCAAGGCCCAACCCCTCCACGGAGGCCAAATGGTTGAAGCAACAGGGATCAAAATTGATGGGGGACTCCCCGGGAGTCCACGGGACAGATGGCTGCGCGTAAATCCCTTCGCCAGAATCCCTATAGCGTAATCTATCATTGCCCGTACTTTTAGTACCAATACAACCACCTGTTAATTACCTCCAAGGAAACACCTCCAGGTACACATCTTCGCCAATATTCCCGCAGTAGTAGCCCTCTGCGCATTATCCCGAGGAGGAATCTGGCCAACCGTTTTCCCGCGGGTTCTTATCTACGCTATATAGATGTCTTTGGTAATTTTCTCCCTTTGCAGCCATGGTTCTCTCCGGCCAAATTGTAGAACGGTTACTGGCTCATCCTTCGCTCCAGCAACATTTACAGTTCTTCCATATACAACGGTTCTTTGAACTCACCCACCGTGTATGGCCTGAGATTGTACGTCCAGGCCAGGTCAGGCCACCCTTGCTTCCACCTTCAGTCTCGGATTTTCTGGCGGCTATCCTTGACCTCGACCCCACACTTATCAGCCTAACTTGGCTTGCCTTTGGGGATATCATAGAGGCGTCTTATGAGGACACTTTCCAACCCTCCTTGGACGATGCTTTTCGTGTCCATGCTCGTCCTTATTCTCTTGGTTTGCTTTGTTTTCTGGATTCAAAGAAACCACTCATCTGACTACGTCAGGCGCTGAACCTCTACTACCGCCAATTTCTGTTTGCTCCAAGTGTCAAACAGGTACTTTGGGAGAAGTCAGTGTTGTGGAAGGTCGTCTGTACACGCTCCGAAGAGGAGTCTTGCCAATTTTTTCCAAGTCATTGTACTGCCGTCGTAAGTTCTTTAGCTTTAAATCTTTGACAAACCTCACTGGCTCATGACAGCGTGTCATATCCGATACTACAACAACTATTTTGTGCGTGATGCGAGGGAGAGCACAGCACAGCGTGAATATTATTCCCCGAATCTGCCTCAATTTATTCAAGTCACAGAGACCACGTATGTGGAGCCCGAGCTCTGCAGATATTTTGCGATTCAAATGGCCCAGTCTCAGTGTGTGCTATTTGGCTTTACGTTTCTCCTTTCCTCACTTTCACACTTTCTTGGCAGTGGGACCTGCCAGGGGATTGCCAGGGTTTACAACCAGGCTTTGGGAATCTCAGACCTACCCAATGCTTCTCGCCTCAGTACGGACCTCACTGGAGATCTGGTCTTAGACTCCTTTCTCTTGCACGCTCTATTGCAAGATAAAAGGGCAAACCACCGCACTTTGTCTTTACCACATCATGGCCCACAGAATCATCGATTCGATCAGGCTCTGGCCGACAGAAACTCTGACATGGCAGGCACAGGCCAGCCTATGTGGGCTCACGCTTGCAATCGGTGCATGAAAGTTTACCAGGGCGAAGATGGTAATTGGTGTACGTTCTCTTTGTATATTCTTTGAGGCTTGTGTACTTATTCTACCTTCACCTAGACCGCATGACCGCCGGTGTCCATGACGGTGTGACCGTCCGCCATCTTTGCTGCAGTGTCCATGAGTGTCAAAATGCATTGCCGACTCAAAGAGATTACTTTTGCCTCATCCACAAAGACCGGATCAAGTGGTGCTGTATTAAGGGTTGTACTGCCCTCGCGGAGCCAGGTTTTCGGACCTGTGGTATCGAGTCACATCGGGCGTTCCAGACAGCTGCTGCTGAGAAGAATGCGGCTATGTTCCAATTACGCAGCAGACTTCAAAATGCACACATTTCAGATGTTCCACTTGCTGGCTCGTCGGAAACTCCTTTGGAAACTCCCTCGGAAACTCCCTCCGAGTCTGACTTACCACCTGACCCTGCCGGTAATCCTGCCTCCTCTTCTGCCCCTCAAGCCTCGACTCCTCAAGTAAAAGGCAAGCTTACCAGAAACTGGATGCATAACGAGCAGTTATTCGTCCGGTGCTGTGGCATTATTATCTCCCGAGCCACGTTTTTTGGTTCTGAAGGACTCACCGGTGTCAAGGTATCCTAATCCTTTGTGCTTTCTCGTCCAGACTAATCTCAGGTTCACAGCTCTTCCTGAAAGCCATATTTCCTGAGGATTGCCCAGGCGCTCTTCCCTCATACATTTTCTACGACAATAACTGTTCCTTTCTGAAGCACCTCCGTAGCAGCGGGGACCACTACTTTGACCGCGTTGGGCTGCCAGTCGATGTTTTCCATTTCAAGTGCAAGCACTCAGAGGGTGACATATTTTGTCAGACTCACTGCAATCCAGCTCGTTTTCGTGAGCTGATTGACAGTGAAGGTAAATGGGTTTTCAATTCATCTGCTGCCGAGCAGGCCAATGTCTGGTTTGGCAAGTTCCAAAACATTGTCCAGGACATGACCGTTTTAAAGTATGTTTTCTGAGCTTATTTAAATCTCTACTGATTGCTTTCTAGATATAATTTCTTTTTGGACGAAATGATTTCCATGCACAATGAAAGTGTAGCAGCAGAGCTGCAGGCTCAAGGTCAATTCCCTCACCTCCAGTCAAAATCGTTGTTGGAAGGCAAAGAGCCATTTATTTCGAAATAATGCAACATATTTAACCACGAGATCTCAAATTATAACCGCACCGAATGTTCCTAAGCCGATCTGCACGAGCGACATCACGCCGACGAGCTACCGGGTGCTTCCCGCTCGACTGTGCGTTTGCGTGCATATCCGCGCTGGGCATTACCGTCCCATGAGCATGACGGCCATTGAAAACCCTGAAGCCAAGATGTCAAAAAAACCACGCAGAAACAAGTCTGAAATCTCACCAAACTGTGTTTGGACGTGTCTGGATCACCATCCCCCACCGGACATAAGCAAAGTTATAACCGTGTGGTCCACAATTCTCCTTGACCAGCTGGGCACAAGGATACAATCCCCCAACGCACTCTGCGTTAGAAGCGCCCGACACCAAGTCCAGAATTCCAATATCAGGGTCCTCGTGGACGCAACTGATATAGTTATCACACTCGAAAGTGGATAGTCCATACTTGCCAAAGTGTTTAACCTCCGCTTGAGCAGTTGTTGAAGCTAGCTGCGGTGCCAGCTCAGGGCAGATGGAGGCCCCAGCTTCAACCAGAAGATCAGTATCCTGTGAGCACGTTAGTCTGCAGAAACAAAAAAAAACCTGCTTGAAACTAACCACGGCATGCCGGAATAGAGCGCGTATATCATCAGGAGTATCTCCCTTGTGACAGGCCCTTGTGACAGGCGTATGGTCCATATCCATCTCCCTGACGCCCACCCCTAGGCATACGAGGGCCTGTTCCAGTCATCTTACCATATGCCCACTCCTGCATGGCTTCGCGGCGACGTATTGCACGAACCTTGATCCGGCGGTGATTGTCAATTAACTGCGCCAGTGTCTTCTTCGAAAAGACCTCGAAGCTGACACCCCCAACCTATAAGCAGGTCAGGAATTGAGTCAAATATTGCAGAGGATTACTCACCATCTTCGCCTTTTTACCCTGCCCCTGAGACTCCCAAATGAACTGCACTATGTCTTTTCCACAACGCTTATACACGTTTGGACGGTGACAGATCAGCTGCATGTGAAGATCATCGAAGGGATGGAAATATCAGATGTGCTTGCACAGTCTCTCAGGCTCTGTCGCTCCTTTCTTGCGTTTGGCCTGAACGACGTGAGTAGAGCTCAAAACGAGTGAACAAGTTACGTACCAGAGGTTTTGGCCTCAACCGATTACCAACTCGGGCACACGTCAGAGCAGAACCGATCAGGTTCTTGCAATTGCGAGGCTTAACGTTTACTATCCGAATGCATTGTTGGTCCATTGATAGGCCAGCGCAGTGCGGGCACTTGTGGTGTCGACGTGAGGCAGTATGATCTGATTTCCCCTTCACAACGACACGTGGTTTCGTACCAAGGACTTGAGTGCAAGCTCGGGTGCCAGAGCCTGCCAACGTCTGGTCCACCTTCTTTCTCGCCAAGTTGGCTTGTTGATTTCTTTTGCGGATTTGACTTGGAGACAAGACCCGAACAGTGACCATGGGCAATTCCGACTCTGAATCGATCTCTGAGTCAGAGTCAGAATCCGAGTTGGAGTTGCGGTCAGAGTCATCGGTGCTAGCGGTAGGCTTGGCGTTTGGCACCTGTGGCCGTAAGAATTGACGCCTGACCTTTCTTATCTGAGACTTGTGCCTAGATGACTCGGAAATGACCACAGCCAGTCTGGGATCAAGCTGTTCGAGAAACTCTTTGCAGGACCGTGGGTTGAGGTAGACCCCAAAGTTGGTGATCCTTCGGTAGACTGTTTCACAGTTCCACCCATTCACTCTCTAACAAAGGTCTTGGTCAGTGCTAGCGTTTCAAGTCCGGTGTCTGTCTCTTACCGGATATTTGAGTTCCTGAAGAGAGGGAACCAACCATAGCTCGCAGTTGATTGTGAAGCATTCCAGCGACAGGAACAAGTAGACAGCCAAGGGGTCGTAACTCCACGGATGCATACGTGGATGGGCACTGATGAACTGGAGCAGCTGTTCAGCCTCAAGCGGTGTGAATACAAAGTTTGGATCGGGTTGTGGGACAGTCTGTTACTTGTGTTAGGTCTAAGCCAGTCTTGATTGAAACCACATACTGCATCATACTCGGCTTGTGTACGCACGGCTGCAACCCAGCGACAAATCATTTCTGCGTAGCTTATCTTCCAATCGTGCCACCGAAAGCTGTCCTGGACATCAGCATGAGATGTCTCTATGAGATTGCCCCGGCGACAGATTCGATCCATCA